GAAAGGGGGGCCACTTCTGATGCCAAAGGCGCAAGTGTCGAGACAAGGATTGCGTTCCGACTGAAGGCCTCGTGCTCACTCTTACTCGCCAATTTCTTGAGCCAACGAAACAATTTGAGTAAAAGCCTAAAACGTTTTCCAAAAAAGTGGACTTTCAATGAAATAAACTCCAATGTATACGTTAAAACGAGCGAGGAGTGAACGAGAGAAGTTATACCCACATCAATTAAAGCTGATAGAAAACATGAAAAACTTCTGTCATAAATAGCTCAAATCTAAATGTTTCTGTGTGCCTCTGTATATAATAATCTTAGAGAGAGATACAAATTTTAATTGGAGCGTTAAATTTATTATTTATTTTTTGCCATACGATATGAACCGAGATTCACTGGGCATCTTGTAACATGTTTTATAAACATTATAAATTATATTAACTTACCCCTCCAAACAGGGAAGTAACAAACTCCTGTTGACGAGAAACTCTCCATAGCAGGGTACAAACGGCTGCACCCATAGAAGAACAATAATCAGATTGATCACTCATTTGTTGGCTTGCTTCTGACAGCTGACACTGAAAGAAAGATTTTTATATTGAAATCTTCACTTTGGTCCAGATATTTTGGAGAATCTTAACGATAAAACTGGGTTAATTATATTTCTCTGCAAACCTCTCCCAGCGTAGACAAATTGGGTATATGTTTATCTTCTTTTTTTAACAAATACTTTGTTGGAGCCAGCTAGTTGATAAATTAGCTGTTCAACAGAAAGAGCTTTAATTTGTATAGGATTTTGGAGGACTGATGTAAAACAAAAGACTCAATGTGATTTCTACAATTCAAAGGGAATCCAAAAAAAAAGACTTTTTAAGTTTACTTAATTACATACATTACCTTGAGCTCATACTTTTCCTAAAGAGAAAAAAGAGAAAGCAACAAATGTTAAAAAAAAAAATTCATCAATAGAAATAAATAGATGTGCATTGTGACTACCGTGAGGATAATGATTAATCAACTGCCCACCAAATATAATAAAAATGTGTTCATAGGTTAAAAAACTCTCTGAAAATTACCATTAAATTATTTGTGCCCAATGAATGATGAAGCTCAAAAAGACTACAGAACTAACATTATTTATCGCAGCTGCACAGTTTTCATTATGAAAAGTATTAGAAGAAGAATGATGTGAAAGGAAGGAGGAAATATTATCTTGTCTGAACAATGAATAGCTTGGGCCATCAAAATTTAGCCAAAGAATTCCTTTTGTTGCACAAAATCAAAGATCCTGCCTCTTAAGTAAATGATTTGCTTTTGATCAGAGTATTGCTTTTGATTGGCATATTATTTGTACATGCCATTAACAGATCATAATTACTATTCAATAGACATACCTGCCTGCATCTCTCACCATCGAGAAGAAGGCTGTTATTTTGTTTCTTCATTGCTTCAATTTCTGAATCGTGCTGCTTTCTCATTTGATCTAGCTCAAGCCTTAGTTTTCTGTTCTCTGCCTCCAAGACCTCAAGTTCTGATTGATACAAATTACAGGGATCAAAAAATAGTGTTTATGTTGTGCATTTCCCTAAAGCTTAATGGGATTTTCATTACTTCATATTTTTTTGTTTCTCTTACCATTATTTGTTCATGCAGTCATTAACTACTAAGTCTAATGATGAAATATTTAATTACATGAGAAGACACACAGGGCTGGCACTGTAAGTATCCCGGAGAGCTTTATACAATTCCTTATAATTTTATTATAAGGAATTGTATGGAGCTTTTTTAGCATTAGTCGAGGCGCTGCAGGTGTTGTCACATATGATCCTTGTGAGGATCACGTGACAACACCTGCCGCACCTCGACTAATGCTAAAAAAGCTCCGTACAATTCCTTATAATTTTATTATAAGGAATTGTATGGAGCTCTCCGAGATACTTACAGTGCAAGCCCTGTGTGTCTTCTCATGTCCTATGACAAAACAACTAAATGATTTGATCTGCTTAAGATTCTTTACTAACAGGATCCCTACATTAGAGAAATGAGGTGTTTCACTGATTCTACTAATTCTCTTTCCAAAACAACTCTTTTCCAATCCACACTCCATTAATAAAGACCAGCCAGCTGTCACCTTGGTACTTTATTGCCAGTACCAATAAAGTATTATTGGTACTGGCATGTGCCAATAATACTTTTCATCCCTTTGGAAATTCTCTTCCCTAGCCAGCTCTTTAAAACAGCCTCTCAGTTTTGCCCTGAGGAGACTATGGTTAGAAGGCTTGACCATAGGCACTTAAAGTAGATGATAATTTGATTCCCATAATTTTAAGCTGGCAGAAAAAATTCTTACCTTGCTCGCAATGATCCAGTTTCTTATACAACCCTAAAAGATCAGATTTTAAAACCTAGAAAAACAATTGAAATAAATAACAACAACATTATATCATGTATGAAAAAAAGGCTGAAAATGCACATACTTTGTTGTTGCAGGAGAAATTTAGGGATGCAGTAATATGAGAGAGATTTGACCCTTAAGTCACCAATTCCTTGCATGTGAAGAATATTGATATGTCTTTGAAGAATTCAGAACTCATGAATTGTTGACTCACGCCAGCAAATCCTTTCTTAAGAATATTCTAGCCTGTGCAAGAGACTGATGTTTCAAGTAAACTGCTTTTCCTAGGGTTGATAGGAGTGATAATCACTTAAAACGGATATCACACTGCCTACAATTCTAATTTTTTTTCTGTGTATTTGCCACCTGTTGTTTCCTGAAATGATTCTTGCTTGACATTTAATTAAATAAACCTTTAATATCTCAATTTATATTAAAAAACAACTTAAACTATATTACACTTCACACTTGAAGTTGTCAAAGGGAGATTATTTAGTTATTTATTTATTTATTTATTTGTTTATCAACAATATTTTAGCAGAGATGCCCTGTTCAGCGTATGCTGGTTTAAATGGGGCTCTGCATAAAACAAATTACAATACAATTACATATGATACGGTATAAAACAAATGTATAATATCATAGCTACGAGAATATTTGCAAGTAAGTTAATTAACTAGAAGCTATTCTAAAATAAGCTTTGAGTGACTGTTTTAAGTACAATAGATTTTCAGAATTCCATATTTTGGATGGTAGAGAGTTCCAAGTTTTTGCTCCATTATATCAAAAAGAACACTGGTATTTTGCAGTTTTTGCTAGAGGTAAACGAGTCAGATCGTTTTTCCTGATATTAAAATGATGCAAGTGTCTAGAGAATTTGAATTCCTGTAGCAAGTATTCTGGGGCTAGATTGTTAATGCATTTATAGACTAACATACAGTTTTGATAGCTTCTGCACGCCTGTAGGCTGGGCTATGAAAACGTGAAATGCAACTTGCTCTCTTTAATTTTCCTATACATTCAATGACAATCAATTATCAAAATATGCAAATAATAAAAGCAATCTTTCTCTTTAAGGTGTGAGTTGGCTGGATTTCACTTTCTACCACAATAACTAACACCACAAAGAGAGGAAAATTACCTTTGGCAAAAATTCCTTGACTTGCATAATCTCTGTTACAAGTTGATCAACATCTGCTCGTGAGACCTTCAAAAAATGCTGGTTTTTGTCATTCTAAAATTCAGAAATAGAAATGAAAATATCAAATGTATATGATTATGACCAGAATCTTCAGACCAACAATTATATGTAGTTGTATGTACTTATCTGATGCTTAATTTTAATATATCTTGCAAGCTTGCTGAGAAAAAATGTATACATAGTTATCTATCGGTCTAACAGGCTGTAATTAGACTGAACTGCACACGTCTGTTTCATAGAATTGGTCAGTTACTCACTCTCTATGGCCCTAGCAAGTATGTTCTGCGTCAAAGCTTTCTTATACTTTGCTTTCATTGTTTACAGAATGAAGTTAGATCAATTGGTGTCTCCCTCCGACCAATTAAATATTGCTTCAGTTTTCTTACACTCAGAAAAAAAGGAAATAATCTTAGTCGGCTCTAGTCGAACTATATATACAACACTATAATCAAGAATACTCATTAATTGCAAAGTCAAACTAGCAATTCTCTCGTTAACAAGGAGAAAATATCACTGATTCATCGACACAACTTAAATAATTCAGCTTTCATTAAATCCATAACCGGTAAGGAAAGCGAAATAAAGTATCCGAACAATTGTAATTTACCACTTGATTTTCCTTAGCTCCTGTGTCTGCCATTTTTAAACTTTTTCTTACTGACGCCCAGGCCTTCTCAGCCAAAGGGCAAATCTTGAAGTAATGGGTTTCTCGGTCACCTTTTCTCCACTTTAAGACAGTGGCTATCCTAAATAACTTTGGTTTCCCTCATCGGCAACCATCTAGAAAGCTGATGGAGCAAAGAAGATTGAGTGTCGGGGCTCGCCCTCAGGCCAGAGCCGCAAACCTTTTAAGTCGGGTCCAACATCACCGATCAACAGCCTCTTGAAGAAATCGGCTCTTCCGCTTAGCTGGTAAAAGTAAAACAACATAAAGCACGCTAATTGTAAGTCTATTAGCGAATTCAGGTATCTAGAAATCTCAACCTTACTGGCTTACTCTAAGCCAGGGCCTTAACACGTCCAGATGCAAACCCCACAAAAGTTCTTCGCAATGACACAGCTGCCGAGAGTTCAATAAAAGCTAACACGTTTTGCCGCTCAGTCGTAAACTGGCAAAAAGATAATGAGAAACACGAACGTAGGACAAAGTTTTGCGTTTCAGGTTCTCTGTTGCAAATTGCAGAGGATGTATGTATGTATGTACGCTATCGAAATCACTGATCCTTAAGTTGTAGTTTTACTGTTGCACGAGTGAATTGTTTTTGTATCCGAGATTCTATCTCGATCATCAAACTTTTCTTTGTTTAGATTCTGATGCCTTAATAAAAGACTAGCTGGTCCGGTTTGTTCGGCTATTGAGATAAACAAGGCAATTTTGGTTTTATCAACTGAGTTGATGTAAGTATAAATTGGCCACCGTAAAGAGTTTAAAAGCTGACGTTTGGAGCGTTAGCCCTTCTTCAGAGCGAATGGCGAAGGGCTAACGCTCGAAACGTCAGCTTTCAAACTATTTACGATGGCCAATTTACACTTTGTCAACTGAGTTGATAAAACCAAAATTACCTTGTTACACCAATGACGCAGCACCACACATCCTTTAAAAAATTACCTTCTTTATTAAGATAAACATCCGAGTCAGGATACCAGAGCGAAACGCTTATGTGGTGAAATTTCTGATAGAATTTTATCGTCGCCGGACTACTGTGTGCTCTCAAGAAGAAAACCTTAGTTTAATGCACGTTCAGGGCCGCTGAGTGTCAAGAACAAACGATATATAGGAACAAAATACCTTGGAGTATTAGCAAACTCTCACATTCTCGCCAGTTTATTTGTGTTCAACGATGTAATGATTGATTAATCATTACATCGTGCTGTTTGCCTTTACAGTGAGTTTCACCTTTAAATTAAAAATTTAAGTCAATATTTAACTAAACAAATAAGGTTCCTCCAGTTCAAAGGATGCGCCACTTTCTTCTGCATCAAGAATTATGAAAGTACGTTTGTATACAAAATTGAAAAACGTTCTAGACACCAGTGAAGTGGCCATATTTTGTTGTTTAGCTTTTCAGAAAACATTTGACTGTTCAATGCATTTCATTATATTCACATCATAAGTCATCGCACCATCAATTTTTTACATGGATATGACGCCACACATCCCGTTAAACTTTTTTTTCTTTTCAATTCGCCACCACAGCAAACTCGCCGCCATTCGAAGTCAATTCGCCACTGGTAGCGAATTGACTTCTACGTATTGCCTCTCGTGTGAAACTTACATCAAATGAAAGCTAAAATGTAGTAGTACATTGCGAAAAGGGAAAGGGACTCAGAAGTTAGGTGTAGCGTCTCAATAATGTAACGTTGAACGAAATATCACGAAGATCATGATCAGTTTGCGAACAGAGAGTGGAGGCGAGTTTTGTAGTGGCGAGTTTGTAGTGGTGGCGAATTGACCGGATACTTAAAAAACCACTGAGGGTGCATGCGTATGTTCGCGTTACTAGTATTTTAAAATCTACTACAATCCAATCTTACAGATGCTTAAATTATAATTGGAAATGATTTAACACCTTCACATTAAAATACATCCATGATAGTCTCAATTACATTTCTATTTATTTAGTCTCACAAACGAGACATGTCAAGTTCCACTAAACCACTTTAACATCTTTAAGTTAAGACCTGAATGAAACACTAAAAAAAGACTATTTACAATCGAAACTCGAAACTATAACACATAAAATGACTTCTTCCTTGGCCAATTCTTGATCTGTTACTGCAATAGTTAATCAATGTCGATGTGATTCAAATTAGATTCAGCTCTAATTTGCCAAATTTTAAATGTTAACTTAATTTTTTGTTAAATGCACTAATCCTGGCACATCTAGTTTTCAGTGAACAACAAAACAAAATAAATAGAAAAGGCTAAAGGAAGAGTAATTTCCTGGCTTTACGTAAATAATTCCTGTATAAAAATAGGGAAGACCTCCTTTCCACATAATGCAAATATTTTCTCATGATTACACAAACGATTACACGATTGTTCGCATTATTCTTTTCTCTCTCTCTCTCATACGAAACAAACTTCAAAGAACGCATTTGTCCCTAGCTTTACTGGTAAAATATGGTAGGGTCGTAAAGAAAGGATCATTCTTTTCTCTGATCTTTAACAAAATAAGGTATATATTACTTATTCCCTCGATCAATTCAAATTTTCCACAAATTAAGAAGTTAACCAATAACAATCAGTGAGAAGAAACACTGTGTTTACGATATTCTATAAGACAACACAACACTAGCAACAAAGCCAATGCCTCTGTGCGGTAGGTAGTGCCGGCTCAAGGAATGTACTTATACTTTATCTTGTGCAGTTCAATCAAGTGACGATAGAATGTACTTACAATGCGTACCGTGATTAAATTATCTACATACGAAGACTTAGCAAGAGCAAATAAATTACTTCGCGGCTATTTACATTTTTTTAAAAAAAAAAAAGGATATAGCGTCTGGACCTCAGCTCGCAAACACTCGATATTACATCAAGTGACCGAAAATCTATCCAAATTGCGACAACATCTCGCCCTGTTCCATCAGAAAAGAGGGAGTGATCTAAAAATGGGCAGAGTTTTACTTACTCGTACTGCGCAAGGCAATAACTTGTTACAATACCTGCTACAAACCAGTTTTTGACGCTTACTTAACCCTTTCTATCAACATCAGCAAGGACATCAGCGAATCGTACAGCTGTGAGCTGACGTTCATCTTTCGTCAGTGCTACAGGAATTTAGGTCTAAAAACTTTTTACCGTGTGAACAAATGTCTCTGTACACGCAAGTTGCCAAGGAATACACAACAGGGAAGAAAAGATCTCGATTACTTAGAGTCCCATTTCTGAAGGTGGCGGCGGCTCACTGCTACCTTCCCCTTCAGAGAGTGCACTTGCTTCTGCCTCTTGAGCCTGCATCTTACGCCTCCTGCTTCGTCGCGCTCTGAGCTTCTCCTGCAAGCCTTGCTCCACGCGAGCCTTGTTCAATTCCTGCTGCTTCTCAAACTCAGCAAGCTCCTCTTCGTGTTGTTTCTTCAGCTGATCAATATTACCAAAGAGATCTTCTTGGTTTGGAGGTGGGGCAAGTTCAGACAAGGGCACAGGTTTGGAGGCATCGGCGCTGTCTCCCCCTGAGGCTTCTGCCTCAGCTGGAGGCTGCTCCCCCTCGGGATGTGTCTCTCCATCCCCAGAGGGTGGAGCATCTGCAGGTAACCCTTCTTTATCCTCTGGTTCTGGAGCCTGATCATCTCCCTCCTCTTTGGCAACTTCTCCTGGTTTGGCAATGTCAGCTCCTTCAGCCTGGGAGTCATCATCTACCAGTTCATCTCTCTTTACTTCCATCTGACCAAAAACCGAATTACACGGTAAACGATCAATTTGAATATCAAAATCTTGCAAGAACTTTTCTTTTGATCACAAAAATGATGAATATGCTGGAGTTTTTTTACATTGGGACATTCATATGTTACTAACACACTCTGCCTTAATATACATTAACAGCTTTGAAGAGCTACATAAATTTTTATGCTACAGTTTTTTTAGAAATTGCATTATATTCATTGCCATCGTTTATGCAAAGAAGCCTTGAATGAAAGCAAATAAGAGACCCACAACAGCACAGGGTAGGCAGTTTTCCTGCCATAAAAAAGTAAATATTGGTAGTCTTACAGATGGGATGACAGTCCAATTTTAGTTATCCTATCATTTTGTCTCATAACAACTGCTGCTAACCATTTATACTCCTCTCTGACAAGAAGCACCACTAGAGATAAGTGTCTAATGCCCAAGAACACAACTACAAGTCTGATGAGGAATCAAGGAGTCAGAGTCTTGCTCACTAACAATTGGCCAACAAATCTGACCCATATTAAGGAGAATTTAAGCATAAACTACTAACCATGCACATGGGACATACCTCTAGTTCAACTCCCAGTTTTTCTTTCACTGTACTTTTAATCAGGTTCATTCTTTCCTCTTTAAGTTCATAATACTTTTCATGGAATTCCTTCTTCACTTCGCCCAAGTCTTTCGAGATGGTCTCCTCAACAACGCGATTAACCCACTGAAGAAGACTTGAACATTTGGAGAAAATTTGTGCGAGCACATTATATGTCTTCTGGTAGTTTGCTGGTACATTGACGTCATTGAAGATTGAGTTGGTAATTGCCTTCAAAACCTATAACCAAAGAAATAATTGGTGATCTTAGTTAAAAACAGGATGGAAATTTGCTCATATTAATCTATCACCCACTCCATTCACCTGCTAGAATGAAACTGGCATAGTCATGGTTTGTTTATTCCCAGAAAAATACCTAAATATTTCAAAATACAAAAATTGATTGACTAGCTTATGAGCTACATAAACTTATTAGCAACTATACAGAAGAATTTTATAGGAAAATTCACTACTTGACGAGGGAGTTCTGCATTTAAATGTACGTGAAAAACGATATCGAACTCATCACTTCGCGATCCATGCAATATTGGTTTTCAAGTGCAATTTAATGCGGAATTCACAGGTGAAGTAATGGTTTTTCCTTGAATAGCATAACTGAATAAAAATGAGAAAAGAAAGGAAACAGCATTACTTAAAATTGTTTTGTCTACCTAGATGCGAAACAATATAACTTAGCCTCGTTTTTTAACTTGCAATTCCATGCAAAATACCTCACTTCGTTTAACCAATCAAAATGCTAGATTTTATTCAATGATGTGATTCTAATCAGTTAGAAAGAGTTTGTGTTTCAAGTTGACCCATTTTTGTCTCAAGTGGCCAACTTATACCCTACTGAACTGGCTTTCATGTACAAAGGATACGCAGAGATTATTAAAAGCAATTTTTCAAGCTTTACTCACAAAAGGACAAAATTAAACCCTTCCTACATTGATGAATCTTCCTGAAGTGTTTTTGCATCAGTTAAGGCAAATGTACATTGTTCAAGACAGCAACACACTGGTAATAAATCTGTGAATTTAAATTCACATGGTAATCAAGAGCAATTATCGCTAACCTCTAGGTCATCTGGAGTGCAGTAAGGAGCAGTCACTGGTTTGAGGCTTCCATAAGCCGTAGAGATGTTTTGGATTGCTGCAATAGCATGATTTCTTGTTTCTGCAACCATAGTATATTTGACCTGAAGGTAAAGAAATAAATGCATTTAAATTGTTTTAGTAAGTATCCAAGTTGAAGCATCCCTATTACATGCAGCACATCCCAAGAAACCACTTGTAAATCTATGCAGGCCTCACTTTGTAGATAATCAAAGTTATGTTAATATACATGTCAAGTAACTGATTGAATGAACTATGATTTACAAATTAAAATAAACCCTCCTGCTTACGGTTTGTCTGTGCCCAGTCTACAAGCTTGGAAAGGTCTATAATTACAATTATTTATTGCATGCTAGTCCAAGTTTTAAGTCAAATGTGCCATCTGCTGATAGAATTACACTTACCACTGGAAGTGAAACATTGTTTGTTGAAATCTGTGCCCAGCGTCTGGCACTCCAACTAAGTTGTCTTGAAGCATGATCAAGGCATAAATGAGCACCACGCCAGCGAGTATTTGCAGTACTGATTCGTGTTTTCCTTTCTCCCAGTAAGTCAAGTTCCATTTCTAACTTCCATTCCTTGTCACTACCATAAGAATCATTGAAAATACAGCCCAACAGTTCTTCTTCCTTTTTCCTCAAGCTTTGTAGCTCATCTTGATCTTTTTTAGCAGATATCGTCTCATCATACAGTTTCTGATATTGTTGTCTGAGACTTGCAAGTTCTTGCTCTGCAATTTCTTGTTTATTCAATGCTTCTGCATACTCTCTCTTTTCTTTTGCTACTTCTGCATTTAGTTGATCAGCACTGACAAAGAACGACCGCAGATTGAATGCTGTACTCACATCTACCACATCCTGGTACTCTTTGGCACTAAAAGGTATAAAAAGAAGAAAAAGGTGTAAAAAGTTAAGTTGACTTGTACTAGATATAGAACAACAACAACATACATTGCATAACTAATCAGTCAAATCAATATGCCTAATGAAAAATTAAATATCAGTCTTCAAGTTATGATATTAATCCCAGCTATGAGCATTAACATACATGGCATAAAATGTCTGGTAACAGAACTAGGACAGTTTAAACAAGTACTTTTTGGATAGAATCTCAAATTAACTGCTAAAAGTGAGGTGCCATGATTAATGCATGGACATTTTTATAAGTGGCAAATACATGAAGGACCAAACCAAGCAAGAACAAATAAAAAACATGTTTCTTTTCATTCAGGGGGAGTCTTTGATAAAGCTGCATCTGGTTGGGTGCACACACTGCAATTTATGCAACAATTGATCACACTATGTTATAAGGTGTCAAGTGAATGCAATTAAGTGAACACAGCTGATATTCTTAAAACAATGAATATTCCCTCCAAAATTGTTCACTGCTGAAAGCAGTCTGGCCAAACTCCCCTTCAAAGTGTTAAACACACCCATAAACTAATAAATATCATGCTGTAGAAATCCTTTCTGATCATAAATTATTATTAATTTTATTTGCATTATTACAAACTGCTTGTGAAGTATAGATAAAATAAATGCTAAACTTTCATCAGTATGGCATTTCAATAATTTCAAATTCAGACATTTCTTTATCATGACACACAACTACAAATGCAACAAGTAACTTTATTTCCTGATTTCCACCCATCCAGTCCTTGAATTTTGAAAAAAGGGGGGTGCAAATTTAGTCTAAATACTAGAAATATGATTTTGAGTTAGTACTGTAAACTTAATCAAAACATAAATTAATGTTTCATACTGTACGCAGAGTAGAACCTGATATCATCAGCTGGTAACCAACTTCATACATGTACTATAACAACCAAATGTTTACAGCTAGCTGAAAGGTAATCAAGGGATCGCTGAGTTCATTTATGTACACGTTAATAACGTCTGGGGCCGTACTTGATTAAACAAATTAGAAAACATGGAAATTAAAATATCGTTTCCACTCACGTTTGAGCCTTGAGCTGTTGAACCTTCTCGGTATTCTCTGAAAGTTTTTTGTACAATTCCACCAGCCGCGCATGTTTTATAGGATATTCATTCTCGACGCCCTTTCTTTCCAAGGTCTGTATTTGGTTTTCTACCTCCACGAACTCTTTCAGCACGTCCTCGCTGAAATTCGGTTTCTCGCGTTCTTGCCATTCTGCTTGTTTTTCGTTTTCTTCAGTGTTACCTTCACCTTGAGTCGTTGTTTCGTCCGGAGCCTCTTCGATCTTCTCAACTTCATCAGCTACAACTGCTGTTACTACCTCTGGCCCTTCGCTATCTTTGTTGTTATTTAATTGAGGAGCTTCTGTTTCTGGCGCAGATTCCTGGTTTTCGATTTGAGCCGGTGCATCTCCACCAGGAGCAGTTTCAGGACGGCTTTTCTTGGATTTCGCACTACTTGATCTGCTACTACTTGAGCTGCTAGAACTTGATTTCGCTGAATCTTTCCTCTTTTCTTTTGGGGTTTCTTGTCGTATCAACTCAGGCTGTGGTTGATGCTCTTGTTCATTTGGTCGCATTAATGTGGGTGATTCTCTCTTTACGTCACCATTTCGAATGGCGTTCTGTTCTGGTGCAACAGCTTGCGATGATCCACAGCCCATGTTTTTCCTGTTAAATACAGATAAAGTTCCTTGTTAATAAATCATTTCATTTATTATATCGGCCAACACTGTAAAATATCAAAGGTCACGTAGGTACAAAATGTCAGTTCAATCAAGAGATTTGCAGTAAGAGTACAAAATTAGCCATGCAAACTTAAACTAAACCACAAGATTTGGGCCCTCGCTCTAGTTTTTTGGTTCTGGATATTTTACAAATACATACTTTTTCAAAGTAAGGTCACATTTATATTTTTGTAAATGCAACTCATTTTGATCGATCGATCATTACGTTTGATAAATTCAGTTAAACTGCACGGAAAAAAATCTTTCATCCGTTCAATCACGTACCGAAATTTGCGGTGAAGCTGAGGCCCAGAGGCTCAAAATTTCTTCATAAAGAGTAATCTAGCTATTTCTGCGACTGTCGCTTTCCCATTTGTTGAAATTTCTGTAGAGAACACGTCCTTGTATGTGTCGAACCACTGTACAAGATGGCGAACATATTATATTTGGAAATCTGTTGCGATAGCAACAGATCAACAGTTTCCAGCGAGCCACTGGCAGGTCCGACTAGAACAATAAATCGATTTGAAGTCATGCAAATGTAGTGTTACTCAATTTCACGGTTGTCAACATGATCAAAACATAATTTTTTTTCGTCAAAGATATAGCAAAATTTGTCTAGGTAACTTCTACTTCAAATCCAATTGGAAAGGAGTTCCATAGCCATGTTTACCTCAGTGAATACAACGTTCTTTAATCCCCATGGCAACAGCAAAACAGTTTTGCTCGCCAATTGTACTGCAACATGAAGTGAAGACGTAAATGTTTTCTTCTTTATATTCGAGATAAGCCTCTAACAAAAGAAAAAAACTTTCTCGATTTTTTTCAGGCTGTGGCAGACTCTCATCATTCTATTATATTTCTACATTAACCGCCGCCTCCCGCGGTTAGCTTAAGTGAGGAGAATCTGCTACCTTTCTATAATCAAGAAATGGATAGATATTCTAGTCTTCTCGGATAAGGACGGATAAACCGTAGGCCCCGTCTCCTGCAGGGTTAGGGGAAGGAGACGTTAATTTCCCACGCACGAGATTACTGTGTGGTGGTTGTCCTCCCCTGGGTGGGATGGGTGTGTATTGGCCCTGAAAAGCCCCTATGGGGAGTGGTCAATTAACCTATGTCAGGCTCCTACCTATGTATGTGTGTATGTATGTATGTAATTCGGAAAACTGCGCTCGAGTCGCATGATTTTTCCCATCCATCGTTTATCCCGATCTTACATGTTTTCCCGGGTTTGGCGGGTCTAACCAGTGCCAGGGGTCACTAGCTGAATAGGGGAGGGGTAACTCCCTGTTGATTCTAAAGGAAGGGATGGAAATAATAAATCTAATAGCTGTTTTTGGACCGGAAACAATTCAAAACATAATTTCGATAAAATAATTTTAACACTTAATTAGGAGAACTAACTGACAAAGAAAGTCAATGATCAATTGGTCGAAGTAGCTCTCAGGTGTAGAGAGGAACGGGAACTCGTTAAGTAACAACTTTGATTTTCATGAAGAGTGCGAGATGAAAACCTAATTTGTTTTGTGCAGAGTCGCCTTTTAACCTATGAATCACGCTAAATACTTTATCGACGACAAAAAGCGCATTGGAAATGATTAAAAAAAGTCTTAGTATAAATTTTCCAACGCAGGCAAACTGTATGTACAATATCATACAAAGCTTTTTTTTTAATTCCAATTGAAGAAAGGGCGGAATATATTACCCCTTTTATTCCTTTATCGTCTTTATAACTTTATTGTTATTATTTTTTCCTGTTTAAGTCTACGATACTTCCCTGACCACAAGACACCGCCTCGCAGGCTATTCAGTACTGCGCTTCTGCAAGTATTGTATGACCTAAAAACTAGTTGCCTTTGGTCGGACACCTGAGAAAAAATTGCAGACATTGTCCAAAACATGTTAAGAGTGCGAAGAAGTGCTCAACCAAGTGAGCCGAGGAACACGAGACAACACGGAAGATAAAACGGTTCAAACTATTTCTTTCTTCTCTTGTTGTAGAAGGGAACGATGTTGCCCTTGGATTAATGGAGGGTCTCAATGGGTGGGGTCACGTTGACGGTTGACGTTAAAAATTAGGTCATTTGACGGTTGACGGTTAATTTTTTGGAATATCGTTTACGAAACGAGCTAGAGGCACGAATTTGGGTGATATTTCATAATGACGCGTTTGTAAAGAATTGTTGATTTATAATTAACAATTATTCGCCGAAGG